CATTGCTGGCAAACGGTCTTGAGAGATAGTGAGAACAGAGAGGGGAAAACCTTCTTATCGATGCCCTTAATGCTCATTATAGTTTCAAAGGCTCTTAGATGAAAGTAAGGGTTATCTAATTTAGGGATGTCAGTGGTGTTGAACTTATGCGGAAGAAGTTCCTTGTCCAGCGAGACCCCTTGTGAACTAAGGCCCTGAAATTTATAGTCACTAGATAGCTTGCTCAAACTTTCTTGCATAAGGTTCATTTGTTGTTGCTTCACAGGGTCATCAATTTTGAGGGTTAAAGCCTTTAACACCTCAGTCACGTCATTCAATTGATTCCTAAGTTCATTGACCTCTTCTTGACTTGCCATTATCTTTTTAGCCTTCCTCTTTTGACGAATTGGTTTATCAAAAATTGAGACTTGAATAAAGAGCTTGTCCTTGATTAATCGCCCTTCTCTCCTCGAACAAGTAGTGTGGAAAAGGAATTTGGGGATATTTATTGTTAATTATTTGACTCAAACTTTATTCAACATGCAATGGATGGAGGAAGTGAAGAAAGATGGAATAGAATGTGAAGAAAAATGATGTAGATGGTGGGATATGAAGAATTAGGAATAGGATGTACCCCCAACTTAAATGACGAAAAAAACCGACTCATGAACCTAAGACATGGTCATGGTGACATATACTCAAAGTGTGTGCTAAGACTAGTGAGTGTAGGTGATATGTTAAGACTCGTGTCATGACCATGTGGATAGACTATGTGACTAGACTCAATTAATGACTTAACAAAGTGTTATTGATAGCGAAATTTAACCGAATTAATTAGCAAACTAGTTAATTAGACACTAGATGATGACTCGATCAATAATCCGAACTGTCGCCAAAACGACAGGACTGGCACCGCACTGTGTAGTGTAGCGCCAGACGACAGAGCTGTCGCCAGGCGCCACACTCCACAGAGTGGCGCTACAGTTCAGACTTTGGCGCTAATGCTGGAGCTTCAATCTGAGACTGTTTTCGGTGTTATTAATCAACAGGGGCATGCCTAAAGTCATACTAGGTCAATTCTGATTAAAATATTAGACTTTATTTATTCAAATTAATTAATTAGGCAAAGTTCTTTAAGTCATTAATTTATTTAATCTCAACACAAGTCAAACAAACAGTTAAGAAAACATAGTATATGCACACCAAATAATGCACAATTAGCCAAGTAGGCACAATATGATGCAATGAGTTTGAAACCTAACCATGGCTCTAGTTCTCTAAATCTCGGGATATGGGTTAGTCAATAGAGGGTCCATGGTTAATTTTCCGGATGCACCGCGCGGAAGCCTAACCGTGAAGGGTTGGCGCGAGTGGATGGGACACCGCGAGTTTAGAAAAACTCGCTTCCATGGTTTGGTGAATTCAACATTCTCAAATGTACCCTTTGTTGCTCAGAGCGTTCAATCAGGTAGATGGAGCATGAATTCCCAGAGGGTTATGTCCATATGTAGAACACATATGGGTTTTAGAAAAGTGAGAAAAAACCCAATCAGGAAGTAGGATCGAGCAAACAATACGAAAAAGTAGTCGAAATTAGAACGCATATTTCTGGCTTAGTATTGGAAGAATTTGGCGCCAGCAAACAGAGATTGGCGCCAGGTTTTAGCTGTAGCGCCTGGCGACAAGCTTGTCGTCTGGCGCTACAGTAAAATTTCTGGTGCCAATGCTCTGGTCACTGACGCTAATTCCTACATGCCTCAGCAGCTTTTTGTGCTCGATAAAATTGTCCAGATTCACGCAGTGTTATTTCGGTCCTAGTTGTGAAAGATATTTCTCAAATTTCCTACGTGTAAAATCCTATGTTTTAACTCATTACGGATGGTATTTCCAATGAGATCTTTATTATGCATATGACAATAATGTTAATCAAAATTACGCACATGAAATACTTAGAACGTTCATAGGGTGAAGGTTACACCCCTTAACGATCCAAGAGATCGTCAACTCCATAAGGTCTTGAACCAAATAGGATTCGGGGATGAAGGTACAAATCCAACCTAAAAGAGATTGAACCTGCCCTAATAATAAGCCTCTACTTTATTCTGATCGTATTCATGTGCGCTTGATGACTAACATACAATCAATAGGTTAACCCTAAACCTGTTTATCTATGTTGGTTGAATATTAATGCACAAATAAATCTGTTATTGGCGATCACTTGAATTATAATCAAATTAACCCTAAACAAGATTATTAATTATCTTATTAAGCGTGATTACAAATACAAATTCCCTTTAAACATGTATAAAAGGTGTGATCAAGCAATAATAATAAATATCAAGCAACATGATATTCATAAAATAATAATAATCATAATAAATAATAATAATTAGGAAAATTGTAAACTAATAATCCCACCTTTAGTCGGTCTTCCAGAAACAATCCCACTTTTTGAAATTACAGAAATAATCCCACCTTTAATATGTATCTTCCACTAACGATCCCTTTGACCTACAACCTGTTAAACAGGTTAATTATTTTTTCTTTTTTTTTAACCTAAATCTCTTTTGGGGCCACCAGTCCACCACCATGGTCACCCTAACCCCTAACCGCCACTGGCACCCACAAGGCCACCACAGATTATTCCAACCATGCTTTAACCACCCCTAAAACTCAACCTCCGCCCCCAAAAACTTGACCCACAGCCCCGAAAAACCTCCACCCAGCCTGAAAACCCAACCCTCAGCCCTAAAAAGTAAACCCCGGTAGCCCCAATTACCTCTAAATTCAATTTTTATCTTGAAATTAAACCCAGAAGCTCCTCTTTAACCAAGGCTCAATACTCTTATCCTGATTATAGAAATTTCTCATATCCGCAGCCACCATCTTTAATCACAAACATATGCAGCAACGACGTAGTCATCGAAGCCGATGAATCGATCTTCAAATCGTAAGACCAACGAGGACATTACGACCATCGATGTTCATAGCACATAAACCACAAATTTCTTCGCGGCAAGTTCGGCAGAAGGTGACTAGGTGAGAGAGAAGGATCGATTTTGTTCTTGATGTTGATGAGAGCGTCGAGAACCATGAGACCATACTCCTTGAGGTTGATCTCATAGTTTTTGAGCTCGGGATTTGAAGGAGTCGGGGTTCTAGCGGTAGATTTGGAAGGTTTTCATTGATATTGGTGGCGGCGATGAAGAGTTGAGGGCTAGGTTGGGTTGCCGGGGAAAGCAAGGGTGGCAATGGGGAGGGGAAAGCAGTGGCGGGGTGGGGCTAGTGGCGGGGTGGGGCTAGTGGCGGGGTTGGAGATGGGTTTTTTTTTTATATATATTATTATTAAAAATTTGAATAAACCTATTAAAATTCGACACGTGTCTTATAACCTAAGAAAACCGGTTACCAAAGCTATCCAACCGGTCAGGGATTGTTAATGGAAGATCCATGTTAAAGGTGGGATTGTTTTTGGAATTTCAACAGGTAGGATTGTTTCTGGAAGACCGACTAAAGGTGGGATTATTAGTTTACAATTTTCCTAATAATTAAAGTAATCATGTTAAAGCATAATATTAATAGCAAGATCCTAGGCATGATACTAACAAGATTAATAACAAACCCTAGCATGTCACTAAACAATAAAGATCAAATATTTAGCCCTAACATGATACTAACAATCATAAATATTAGGAAGAACATAAAAGGCATTATATCAATCATATGTAATATTAAAGTTACCCTAGACATGATACTAGGAATATCATAACAACCTAAACATGATTTCTACATCATAAAAACCATTAAAGTACTTACTTGGATGCCTCGTATTTCTTTCTAATAACAAAATACACACGTTAGTCACTTCAAGGAAAATAATAAAATCAACAAATTAAATTAAATAATAATTGAAATAAAGATTTGGGACCAAACCCTCAGAAATTAAAACCTTTCACGTCTAGGGCGAAGGCAACTTCGAATATGGCTAGGTGTTTCTAAATCTAATGAATGCGGAATTTTTGTATTTGTGAAAAGGCTAGTTTAGAAAAGAGACAGAGAGAGTAATCAAGAAAATCTTGATGAGAGTTGGTAGATTGTAGATTATTGTGGATGATTTTGGGTGAATGAAAACGGAGTTTTTACGACGTTATTTATAAAGAAATCAGCCAAAAAGATAAAATATAAAAAAAAAAGAGTTCTGACGCAAAAAACCAAGTTGGCGCCAGACGCTGACCTTGGCGCTAGACGCCAAGGCTAGCGCCAGGCGCTAAAGCTAGCGCCATGCGCCAAGCGTAGCGTCAGGCGCTACAGCTGGCGTTTGGCGCTGACTAGGAATTTGACGTGTTTTCTTAAAATCAGATAGAAATTGTCATACAGGAGGATAAAATCGTATTTTTCCTCAAAGATGTTCTTTGATTTTAATTAAAACTCTGTAAAGTCAACAAAAGTCAATTTATCAATGGTAATTGAATTAGGAATGAAAAGAACCTTCTAGAAAAATCTAGAAGACTAAAACCATTCCTAATTGCATTAGGAATGATAAATCCATATTAGGCCCTCCTCTAGATCATTGGGCCGCACATAAGGCTCAAACCGGGCCCAGTTCAGTAATTTGGCCATAACTTCCTCATTATTCATCGGAATTGGGCTTATAATATATCGTTGGAAAGGTATTTCCAACCCCTCTCCAACTACACTACTATTGGACCCATATAATGGACCAACCAAACTGGATTGGCTGTTTTCTTAAAATAGGTTTTCAAAAACAGAGAAAAGAGAAAAGAAATTAAAACTTTCCGCAACACTAAACTTTCCACACTTTCACTTCATTCGATTATGATTCGACGCGAAAGGTACTCATCACTGGGTTTTGTTTTGGGGAGACACAAATGGGTGTCTAAAACCACATAGATCCATATGAACAAGTTCCAAAGGTCTTTTGGTGCTCCCCCATTTTCTTGGACTTGAAAGAAATTCGAGTCTGTTTTCCTCTAACACAAGCATCACACACTTTGTCATACATGAACTTAATGCAGGGAAGTCCTTCCACTAGTTCCTTATATCTAAGTTTATCAAGTAAATTAAAGCTTGCATGGCCAAATCTCTTGTGCCATAATAGAGGATCATCCTCAATAACACTGAGACATGTTAAATTGCTGTTAGGAACCTCGTTAAGATCAACAACATATGTGTTCCCTTTACGAGTTCCTTTTAAGATAATGTTCCCAGCGTCGTTGTGAATGATTCTGCATTTATTAGAAGTAAAGCTTACAGAGTTACCTTTGTCACAAAATTGTGAAATACTTAACAAGTTGTGTTTGAGACCCTCGACCAAAAATACATTATCAATAGCATGGGAACTTGACCTTCCTACTTTGCCAATAGCAACTATATCTCCTTTCATGTTATCACCAAAGGTCACAGCTCCCCCATAGTAGGCATCCAGTGAGAGAAATCTAGATTTGTCTCCAGTCATGCGCTTAGAACAACCATTGTCGAGGTGCCAGGTGTTGTTCCCCCTCACTGGAACCTGTAAGAGAAATCATACGTTAGTGTCAGGAACCCAGGTTTCCTTAAGTTCCTGTGTAATAACAGCAGGTTCATTCTTCTTGATCCATATCTGTTCTACATGTTTTTCATTTTTCTGTGTACTCTTTTCTTTCTTAGGACACTTAACCTGTTTATGTCCTGTATTGCCACAAAAATAACAAACAATACTACTAGGCAGGTCAACATACTTCTTTTTCTTTTGGAACTTCTTTTGAAACCCAAACCTTTTGTTCTTTTGGTTTGAGCTTTGGTGATCCAATCTGGAACTCCGTACTCTATAGGTTGTTTGCCTTTCCTAGCTCTCGCAAGTTCCCCCTCAAGTCGTGCCTTATCTGATCTTAGATCTTCTAAATCAGATTTTAGTTTTTCAAAATTCGGATATTGAGCAAGTGGAGGAACTTCAGAATTAGGAGCATCAAGACAGAGTTTCATCAAGGACAATTCCACATTTAACATTATATTATCATGTTTTAACCTGTCTACAATTTCTTTCAAATAATTATTGTCATTAAACAGACTAAAGAAGCTGTATTGAATATCAAATTTCATATCGTCAACCCACTCACTGTTTTCTTTAAAAGTTACCAAAGCTTCATCACTTTGCTGTTTGGCTCTATATAATTCATTCAAGTCTTCTCGTATTTCCAAAACAACATATATCAAGTTTTCTTTAGAGAAATGTCTTAGGTCTTTTTGAGAAAACCATACCTCAGATTCTAGCTCCTTCAGTTTTTCTTTTTCATCTGTTTTTGCCATCAAACACAGATGGGCAGTTTCCTCTAATGGTTGGTCCTCTTCTTCCTCTGAATCTGAATCTCCCCAGGCAGCTAGCATAGCTTTCTTCACATTGTCTTTGGTGAAGTAAGGTTTATAGACTCTTGACTCCTTAGATTGATCTCTGCCTTTTGTCTTTCCTTTATCACCATCTGATACTGGACAATCCTTAATGAAATGATCTTTAGACCCACACTTAAAACAAGTTGTGTTCCTGGAACTTGTGTACTTCTTGTTCTTATCGAACTTCTTGTTGTTCATCATCCTTTTAAACCTTTTAACTAGCATTGCCATCTCTTCCTCATCAACTTCTGATTCCTCTGAGTCTTGAGCCTTAAGAGCAAGACTCTTGTTCTTGGAACTATCAGTGTTGGAACTCAGGTGAAGTTCATGAGTCATCAATGATCCAGCTAGTTGTTCCATGTTGAACTTGGTGAAGTCTTTAGCTTCCTGCATGGCAGTAACCTTGGATCTCCAGCGTTCATCTTGTGGTAGGCTCCTTAAGATCTTCCTTGCCTGTTCATCAATAGGAATGTGTCTGCCAAGGGAATTCAATTCCTTAATAATATCATTGAACCTAGCAAACATTTCCTCTATAGATTCCTTAGATTGCATTTCAAACCTTTCATATCTAGACATCAATAAGTCAATCTTAGAACGTTTTACCTCATCAGTACCTTCATGAGTTACCTCTAGTAGATCCCAAATTTGTTTAGCATACTTGCATCCCATGATACGATTATGTTCATGAGGTCCAAGTCCACAATGTAAATACTTTATAGCTAAAGCATTTAATTCAAGTTTCTGATAATCTTCTTTATCATAATCAGAAATAACTTTAGGATCTACCTCATTCTTTTCATGGGTTGAGGTTATTTCAAAATCACCAGATTCAATAACACACCAAACCTGGTAATTTCCAGTCTTGATGAAGATCTCCATCCTGTTCTTCCAGTAGGTGTAAAACTTACCGTTGAACATGGGTGGACGTTGGGTGGAATACCCTTCTTCAAGATTCTCCTTGTAAATCATCTATTCAGGAACTTACTCAGCAAAGTTATCTGCTTACACGTGAGAACCTTGCTCTGATACCAATTGTTAGTTGAGACGATTAATACAAGAGGGGGGGTGAATTGTATCGAGTTCCTAATGACTAATTTTGCAGTATAATAAAACAATGCATATAGAAACTTGCAAAGACACACAAATTTTACGAAAAAACCTTCCAGGGCCCAACTGGAAGTAAAACCTCGACCCTACCTTAGGGATTTCAAAAACAAACCACTTCACTAAAATAGGGCAAACACCAAGTTACAACCTATTAAACACAGAACTTTATTCATAAGTTCCACACTTGCTACTCGATAGGACCCTATCCTACCCAATCAAACACCACACTTAGATTCACTCGTACTGCCAAAGTACAAAACTCTCAGCTTCACACTAGAAGCTTACACAATCTGTATGCGATGTAAAAATAACAAACTCACCCAAATAACCCGACCAATATAAATGTATGATACCTAGTATATGATAGGCAAGCTATGCACGAAATCCGAAACTAATATGACAAGTTCGAAGCTTGGTAAACTTACTCTATTAATGCTCAGTGATTTCTCCACGCATAAACTCACAAAAACCTTAAACCATTTCGATCTCTACTATTTATACAAGTATGACTTGTATAGCAAGTAGGTTTTCTAAAAGATAAATAAGTTAACTTAACTTATCTTTAAAACACGATTTTATGTAAATCTTATTTGAAGAAAATCTTTTCCGAAAAACAAGATAGAAAGATATTGTTAAAAAGAATCATATCTTTTAACAACCCGATTTTAAGAAATAAAACATTTTAAAAAATCTTTTCTAAGATCTATCTTTTATAATTTCCTTATTAATTTATTTACGAAGCAAACTTGCCACGCTTCTAATAAATCTCGTGCATTAACCTACTTAACATATTAACAATAATCTAGAAGATAAAAACCTTAGCTAAACTAAATTGTTGTGTCGCGCTTCTGTACAGGTAGGTTACTTGGGCTCCACGCAGACTAAGTTCCTTCAGGGACCTTAGCTTGCTGACTTCAAGTTCCTGTTAGGGAACGTTCCTGTTAGGGAACTCAGTTCTTGTTAGAGAACTTAGTTCTTGTTAGAGAACTCTTCTTCTTTTCTGTTTAACATTTTGTATAAAGATCTCCTCATGTCTTCTTAGTTCCAGTTACTTCTTCCATCACCACGATAAACTTCACCTAAACTAATCAAACACTTGAAAACCTTTATTAGATGAGTTTGCTTTAGTTTAAGTTCCTCATCATCAAAACCTTTAAGCTTCAACATAACCATTATTCGTTCCTGTCTTTAGCTTAAAAGGTCTTTACACAAAGCATACGACCTTACAACTGATGTAGCACCACTTGCTTCATTCTAAGCTTGTAAGTCGATAACTTAGCTTATCTTCAATAGTTTGAGGTCACTTTCAAAGTGGAACACTCAAGCAGTATCCGACTTTATGAAGATAATGAGTTGCTAAGTTAACTTCAATAACATGAATTCTTTAGTAAAATGGAATCTCATTCCTTTTCTTTGTTCCTCGTTTCCTATATTTCTTATCATACTTTTATCTCATAATCTTTAAGAACCATTTCTTTAAGAGTCTTTGCCTTTTATACTTTGTTAGGCATAATTAAGCATCTAATGCGCGTAAAACAAAGTTCCATATTTTCCTTTAATTCACGCTCGAATTACTACATCAATGAGTCATACTCATCTATATATTAAGCGAAAAGATATGTTGGTTATCAATATTGACAATTTGAGTTTGCAACTCAATACTTCATGTTTTATCAAAACTACCTAGTATTTTGAATACATGATGTCCAACCGTTTTTAAAAGTCATTTATGAAAATTGTATTTTAGAAATGCTTTACTTTTCTTTGAGAACCATTCTAAAAGATTTCCTTTACCAATCATGGAAAACAATGCAGTTTGATTTAGAATTCTACAAATATTAGTGCAAAGTATAATCATTTATCAAGAACATAATAAGTTTGAAAAATTAAAAGGTATTCTTGCAAATTTTTCAATCTTATTAAACGTCTTATCCACGCATTAAATTTGTCCCCATTTGGCGAGAATAAGTCGATTCCAAGATCCAAAGAAACAAAGAGTGGTTAAGCATGCTTTGGCTTGTCTTAACACTCAATCTCCTAAGGTAAGCAACGCTTTGCTAATGGCTCTAAGCCACTCTTGGTTGAATAAATCGTCGCATCTAATGCTCTCTCAACAATTTATTCACTTTGCCACGACATGTTAATACTCCATCACTCATATCGTTGAGTACAACCAAAACAAACATGCACACCCGGTGTGCCTTACGTTCCTTGGAGTAGTGATGGTACCTTGCTTTGGCGTAGCCCACCATCACCCTCTTTCGGTTGGTAAGTGTTGTTTTGGAAAGGCAAGTTTTACTCAATATCATTAGGGACCTAGTTTCTATGTCGGTTGATTTAAGTGAACTTAACTAATCATCACAACATTTTGAAAACCTAAACATGCATCTAACATGTCATTCATATATAAGCACAAGCATAAATATATAAAGCATAAGTATAAGATGCATATTGGCAACTAGCATGACCCCTTGAATTCTTCAAGTCTTCAAAAGGTCTTCTCTTGCATCTTCATGGCTTTGTCTTCCAAGAAACTCCGTCTTCAAGACTTAACCAAGATTATGCAACTACTAGTATCTACGATTAGGATTAATCTAAATATTAAGGTACAAAAATACTCAACGGTACGTAGACCATATTTAGATTTACAAAAATACATCACGGCACGTAGTCCGTATTTTCTATCCTAATCGGGTCCCACTAGTTGCCATTTCATAAAACATGTGAGAGAATATACATTCCATTCATCCATTCACTATTTATTAATGGTCCATGCATTTTAGAACGATAAATAAATAGCAATGCATAAATTACACGCGCGCACTAGTAACTAATCTAGGTGGTTAATCCAATTAACACGCCTAATTAAAACTAGTTAAGGTTGTTTAATCGATTATGTAATTGACGTCATTAATAATTGAAGCTCTCACTAAATTCCGCAGCCATCTTAATTAACCCAATTAATTAAGCCGGTAGAACCCTAAATTTGCCAAAATAAAGATTTTGCCAATGCCGCTCAAAACCGAGGCCTAGCCTCCAAAAATTTTAATTAAAATAAACAAGATTAAATAAATATATAAAACGGCAAAATAAACAAAATATCATTTCCTTAAAACTTGGGATTTAAGTGCCAAGTGTAAGGTTCTGCGCGTCGTGCCTCGAGCACGTAGCACACCCACACGCACTCCCTTGCCGCACTAATCAATACTAAGCACATACACTTGCTCGTGCTCGCACCAGCCGCGACTAGCCAAGCATGGCAGCACGCACAACACCATGCTGCTAGCACAGCACCATGCTGTTGCTGCGCCGTGCTGCTGCTTGTTGATGGCTGGCGTGCCATGCTACTGGCAGCAAGCAGCAGCCACGCACTCAACAAGGGGGCAGCCTCCTTAGCAGCCACATGCGGGCTGCTATGCAGCCCGGCTAGACAAGTGAGGTTTTTGCCTCATTTTGCGTGCCATAGCCTCGGGGTTTTAATCCCAATTTTGTGTGACAAATTATTAATTCTAAATTAATTTTAGAACTAATTCAATGAGCAAAAATTGAAAATTTTAAACAAGTCTAACTTAAATAAAATTTATCAAAGTGCATTCAACCAAAATTATTCCAAGAACCATTATTTAATAAAATTGGTTTAACTTGGTGCAACAACATAAATAAGGCAAGTTCTCACTATTAATTTAATCAATTTAAATTAATCTTGAGATTTTGACAAAGTAGGAGGGAGTTGGAAAAATAAGAACTTTAATGTTCAAATGAAAAATCCAACTACTAACACTTGTGAATCCTTGAAAAATTATATCTTCTAATATGAAGATAAACAAATTTCTATCACAAAGCTTGAAACTTTATGTTTCCAATCAACCAAAATGATTAAAACAACAAAATTCAACATAAAATTCATGGAATTTAGTAGCTTTTAAAGTTTCAATCACTTAACATAATTAAAGATTGAATCTTTAGCACTTTAGAAGCTTCAAAAACAAAAATTTCACACTTAATGCAATTAATTTGCAATTATGTGAAAATAAAACCAAGCTTTCAAACACAAATTACCATCAAGTAATCATGCCTAAAGAGGTTTAAAATTGCATATAAAATATGTATTGAACCAATTACATAACCACCATAAATATGCAAATAATTTTCAAGGTTAGAAAGACTGTAAATTTTTTGTAAAACGAAAAACCACTTGAAAAATGCCTTTCTAGTCTTTTTTTTGGCTAAAAACCGAGTTCTTAAAGGGTAAAACCATTTCCAAAACGCTTTTTCCACCAAAAATTCACTATTTTTGGGTCAAAATTTGGGTTCGTGAGCTGAAGTCAGCTCTAGTATGAGGTTAAAATGGATAAAACGAGCTACTAATCTAATTAGCAACTTATAACCAGAAAAAAAAATCCATAAAAATACCTTGAAAAATATGATAATTAAAAATAAACGAGCGGGGCTCCGATACCGTCGTTGGGGTTTGGTGAGTCCTACTCACCGCGGAAAAAACCCGAGTCAAGGATCACACTCGCAATAATTAATATCACTAATGCATGAAATAAACACAAAAGGGCAAAATAGGAAATATACCTTTGTCGCGTGCCTTGCCCGACCAATTGGGCTCTTAATTGAAAGCAAGCCCCGAAAACACGAAGGCCTCCAACGGAATTCCACCCGCAAAACGACTACCGACTTTAAGGTCCGTTGCCCCGGAGTTAGCGAGGCTCGACCAAAGCCCGAGTATTATACGAGTTCAAGGGTTTTTGCAATGGCAATGCCCTATTCAACTCCTACTCAAGTAAAGAATTCTCAAGCCATGCTTTGGCTATTTATAAGGAAGGATAGCTTGTGAATTCCCCTCATCATTCAAT